ATCGGTCTCTCTATAATCACCTCTAAGTTGATGTCCGCCATCCAAGTGATTACTTCCCTGAAAAGACAACTGACCACAACTGTCACCGACTCTCAGTCCGGTGTGATAACTGTTCCCATTTGGAACCAAACGGTTTCCAACATAACAGTTATGGCTATGGGCGCGTCGGCACCAGTAGTCCTATTGTCAACCACTGAGCTCTGGACTAACAGTTATTCAGCCGGGGATTTAGGACCGAGTGTTATCGTAGGAAGTGCTGCCTTTAACACGTTTATCACTATAGCTACCTGTGTATGGTGTGCGACCACGTATCGTCAGTATGTATACGCCAGACATCTCTGTGCATTAATGGTGGTAATGGTGTGCAGTGTGTTTGCTTACGGATGGCTGTGTGTTATACTTGCGGTGAATACCTATGGTGTGGTAGATGTGTGGGAAGGTGTGTCTATTTTGGTGCTGTACCCGGTTATGGTTTTAATTGCATATATGATGGACAGACGTTTTCGCAATATGTAAGGTTATTTTAGTTATCTTTTAAAATTGCATTGTAACACTAAGTACTAGAAATATCAACTAAAAATTAATATACTATACAATACAATACATTGCAATGCATTGAATTAAATTAAAGGTTAAAATTAAGTAACTTAATAATAAACTAAAATAATAACTAAAATTACCCTAGATAATTAATTTCCTTGATAATTATAATGTTGTGTTAAGAGACATCAGTGCTATATTACACATCGAGGTGATGAAAAGTTTAAAACAATTATTATGCTACTTTGTAGTTAGCATGCTACAGCAGTATAAAATTATTAATTGTTATTAATTTTTAAAATTCTTATAGAGATAAAATTACAAACGAAGGGGACGACCATGTGGTGGAACTGGAGGTCTCAAAGCATTACAAGTGTGAAGGGGATGTAGACAGTCAAGAGGTCGGGCCACTGGACACTATTAATGCTAACGCAACCACGACTACAACCCCTAAAACCAGAGCTTATTATAGGGTTGAGGCGACCAAACGGTTGACCGGATGTAGTGGTCGGTCAATAGGAACCACCAGTTGGAGGGGTCAGTTCATCGACGCCTTCCGGGTGTCAGCCCATAGAGATGATCGGCACCGGGAGGTCCAGTCGGACACGTGTTTGGATTACACACTACACGTGTTGACCATTTTCTGGAAAATTCTGTTCGCATTCGTACCGCCGGCGCGATTAGGCCAGGGATGTGCCTGTTTTGCAGTCAGCCTTATATGCATCGGCATTATGACGGCACTGGTAGCCGACCTCAGCTCACACTTAGGCTGTACTATAGGTCTGAAGGACTCGGTCACCGCCATTACGGTCGTGGCGTTGGGCACCGGTATTCCGGACGCACTTACCGGTCGTTTGATTGCAAAGTACGACCAGTTCGGAGCCGACCTGTCCATCAGTAGCGTAATGGCCAGTAATGTTGTGACGGTATGTCTGGGCATCGGTATCCCGTGGATTATAGGGCCGGTATGGCACACATACAGGGGCACCCAATTTAGGGTAGATCCAGGGTCTTTGGTGTTTTCGGTAACTATTTTTACTACCTGTGCTGTCGTTGCGTGTGTTGTATTGATGTTCAAGGGATTATGTGGAGGTGAATTAGGTGGTTCCCTATGGTGTAGAATGTGGACAGTCATGCTATTTGCAAGTTTGTGGCTGTTTTTTGTGGTGGTGTCCAGTCTCGAGGCCTATAAAATAATTCCCGGTTTTTAAGGGACTATAAAATATTAATTTATTTTTGAGTTATACTTATGTATTAAATATAACTTAATAAAATTATGTTGCTCAATGTTTTGTGAAAACTATATGAATGTGAATTGTTTTATAACAAATTAGTATTTATGGTTTTTTGAGTCAAATTATGTTTTAATTTGGAATTAATAATTCTTATAAATTAATTCAATATTTCTAAAAATTGTCTATTAATTATTTGTAAAATTAAACTTAAAATGTAAATTAACTGATTACCGTGAACATATTATATGGTATCCTAGTAGATTTACTGTATTATTAGAATTACACTTCAAATTCATGTTTTTTCTTTTGTTTATAAGACTTTTATGTTATATATATTTATTAACTATTTTACTAATAAATGAAAGAATAATTTAATATACTATGGAAATAGTCTATATAATTTGTTGTATGTACAATAATTATAATATATATAATAATAATTATACTTTATTATACTTTTTAAATTAACAAAAAATTGTACTTATTTAAGATACTAAGTCCATCATAAAATATAAAATTTAAGTTATATATTATATTGAAATGTTATGAATTTTTAAAATTAAAGTCCGCCATATTTTTAATTAAATATAAACTATATTTTATGCTAAGCTTTGTTAAAATATATTTTTGTTAAGGCAATTGTAATAATTATTTGGTGACACCCAGAACTTGGCTTATATTTTGTGGTATTATATCCTGGTCGAACACAATATAATCTGTCATTAAATGTTTATTTAGTTGCCAGATGATTATTTACGCTACTTTTACTTATTAAATATAAATAGACTTATTCATTGTAAGAATGTGTTGGATATCCGTTCACTACGACAAGGGAAAGCCTTATGAATAAATAATTATCATTGAAATACTTATCATGATTACTTATCATTAATTTTGCACTTATTATATAAATAAGGGTGTATTTCAAAAAAGTATTCAAAAGTCTGAAATTTATTATACAATTTTAATACATTTATAAATAAGTTTGTTTTTGTAAAGAACCTAGTCTACAAATTTTAAAATCAATACAAAAGTTATGACTGTTTTGAGTGAAATTGAGTTAAATTCTGAGTTCATAGCAGAAAGCTATGAAAACATCATTAAATCTGTTGGAGATAAACGTGAATACAAAGGAATGGTACTCAGGAATGGCCTAAAAGTCCTACTCATCAGTGATGTGGAGGCAGACAAGTCTGCGGCCGCACTGGACGTAGCGGTGGGCGCGATGTCGGACCCCCGGGAGGTGCAAGGGTTGGCCCACTTCTTAGAGCACATGCTATTCTTAGGCACCGGTAAATACCCCGTAGAAAATGATTACAAAAAATACATCTCAAGTAATGGTGGGGCGAGTAATGCCTACACATCACCAAACAATACCAACTATCACTTCGACATATCCACGGACTTCTTGGCCGGTGCTCTCGACAGGTATGTCCACATCATTCTTGACAATTGATGTTTTGTTTTGTATAAAAGTATTTAAGATATGATTTTCAAATGTATGGTCAGATTCGCGCAGTTCTTCATTGAGCCGCTGTTCACAGAGAGTGCGACGGAAAGGGAGATGAATGCCGTCCACTCGGAGTACGAGAGGAATATACCGATGGATAGCCGAAGATTATCTCATTTACAGAGATCACTGTCAGATCCCACTCATGATTACAGCAAATTCTCAACCGGTAACTCATTGTTTCTGATTATAAGTAGTTTCAGAAATATTAGTAATTTGTTTCAAATATTTCAGGAAATATGGAAACTCTTAAAGAGATTCCGATCGCCAAAGGCATTGATGTCCGCCAGGAGTTACTGTCGTTTCACGAGCGCTGGTATTCAGCAAATATCATGTCTTTAGTCGTTTTGGGCAAAGGTTTGCCTCATAAGTGTTGACCACTTAATACATACACATTTCATTGGTCTTCCAATACATTAATTTACTTAAAGTATGAATCAGTTTATTGTATTCAAGAATATTCTATGAGTTGTATTAATAAATCAATTTTTATTAATTGTGTTCAGAGAGAGGGTCCGAAACAATGGATTTTCGATGAATTGAAACAAATTCGAGAAATTAGGTTCAGGTTTAAAGAAAAGGAGAGACCCATGGGTTATGTGATCGACCTTTCCCATGATTTGCATGTATATCAATACTGTACTATCCACAGTTTATTTGTGTTTTAAAATCTATTCTTAATTAGGACTTCCCTTTTGATGAGTGTCTGAGTGCCGGTTATTTGTTGGATGAGTTTAGACCCGATTTAATCACTGATTTACTCAATCACTTGACTCCGGATCGCATGCGAGTGACAGTTGTGTCCAAACAGTTCACCACAATTGCAGACCAGACAGAGAAGTGGTACTCAACTCAATACACCCAACAAGACATTCCTCCGGAAAAGATCCAGAAGTGGCTTAACATTGGATTCAATGACAACTTAGCACTTCCCCTGAAGAATGACTTCATTCCCTATGATTTCACTCTCAAGCAAATCGACGATAACTTGAAACAAATGCCACAAATGATTAGAAACACAGAGTTTTCTCGTGTTTGGCATTTGCAGGACAATCAATACCGCACTCCAAAGGCTTACTATAAATTCAAACTAACCAAGTAATACTTAATTATTGTGTAACCTAGATACTATGATACGAACATATTACATTTTGATATAGTCCGCACGTATACGATAGCCCAATGCATGCAAATGCCAGTACATTATGGACCCGAGTATTCATGGACTCAATTAATGAATATTCATATTCAGCACAATTAGCCGGACTGTCCTATAACTTCTATCGTACAGTCACTGGCCTAGAAGTCAGTATATTAAAAATTACTATACTTTCTATAGATTAACTCTGTGTTTATAATTAGCTAACATTTGGCGGATATAATGACAAACTAAACTCATTGATGACCACTGTTTTGGATAAATTAATTGAATTCAAAGTAAACCCCAAAAAGTTTGAAGTGTTTAAAGATAAACAGATTCGCGGTCTTAAAAGTTACCAGAGTCTTTCAAAACCACAACTACTCGGCTATTATATGAACGCCACTACCAGTGACCGGTACTGGACTTATGAGGAGCTATTAGACACAGCCTATGATATATCGGTTGACGACGTATCAGCACTGGTATCCCAACTGCTGTCCCGTTTCCATATCGAGGCCTTAATCCACGGAAACATCGACTCGAGTGAAGCCATAGATGTTTGCGATGTGTTTGAGTCGCGATTCAAGTCAGCCCTCAATACCAAACCC